GTAAGTCTCATTTATTCGTGAAAGAATTGCATTAGTATATTAAGTGAAGTGGAAGTTATTATCTGATGGAAGGTACATGATTGAGCCACCGTGATGATTTTCATGCACACAGAAAAATCCTACATTTCTTTGGAAGACTAAATACACTGTGGAACTGAGGAAGAGAGGCATTTATGTTTTACCATTATAATGAGAACAGATTTGTAAGTGATTTGGAAAATTAGAGCAAGAGCTCTAACAAATGGTTGAAAAGACAGGACACAGGAATCCATTCATTTTTAAATAGTGGCTGCTTCCATGGCTCATTGCACTTAAGACCTTTCTGATGGTAACAAATCATCTGTTACAAGCACTGCTATGGCTTTTGGCAAAGAAGAGCATCTCCCAGGTGTGAGTCACGGGCTCCTGCCTGGAGCAAACCATCTACCCATGTATTGGGATACTCTCTTCCATTTGTTCATTTGGAAAATATGTCAGAAATGTGCCCAGATTCTGCGTCCTGCTCTAAGTCACATTTCCTTCATGAGAAATTATTTTCAGATATTTATAGTTAGGAATCAGAGTAAGTTGAGGCACACTGATTCTGGAAAGGCTTTGGAAGGGATGAAAAACATCTGAAAAATCATCATTCCAGACCATTCTCACAGAAAGAATATTCTGTATGTGATCTGTGGAATGCTTCTCTAATTGATAATATGGGAGTTTCCAAATAATCATTGCATGAAAAACTTCTTATGTAATTTTAGCCGCATCTTTTATCTGGTATTCTTTGAAGATTAAGAAGGTTTGGAGAAATGTCACATCTCCAAGTTTGTAAAGAAAGAAAAGAGGACATGCCTATAATTCTAGATACTCAAGAGACTGAGATCTGAGGATTACATGTCAGAGCCAGCGTGTGCAGGGAAGTCTCTAAGACTTTTTTCTCTATGCAACCAGCAAAAAGCCAGAAATGGAGCTGTGGTTCAAGTATTAGAGCATCACCAAACTAGAGCAAATAGAGTAAGGGAGAGCACACAGGTCCTGCATTCAAGGCCCAGTAATTGGCACAAAAAAAGAAAGCAAACAGTTTTCTTTGGACTAACAAAACTAATAAAGACTAAGAAGATATGAATAAGATAAACTATATTTGCATTACAATACAGGAAATTTTATTGTATATATCTCCTAAAATAATAATCCTGTACAAATAAGTCTTGCACTCTGAACATTCCAACAGACTTCTCAAGCACACCTGAGTCAGGCGTCTTGGCAAATATTTACTGGAATTTGATAAGAAAGGGTTATAGAGAAAAATTCCTTTCCCTACCAGACAGGAAATTTGAAAACATAACCAAAAACTCTTCAACTTAGACTTATAAAGTACATAAAATTGAGACATACTTGTTTTTTGTTACCAAGGAAATTTTAAAGAGAGGGATTGTCCTCCGTGTCAAGAAAGTATACAAGCTTTTATTTTTCTCAATATTATCCAAGATGAGAACATTTGGCTAGCTAGTTACTTTTATTTTCAGTTTCCATCTATATTTATTGAATTTTTTGAAGGTCTAGTTTCATTTTATTACATAAAATTTCTGACTTTAAATTCTTTAAACTCATGTGGAAGTATGATTCTCATCCAGATGACTTTGCCTTGGTTTATTTTAATATAGTATATAGTGATGACAAGAATAACTCAGGATATTCATATGGACATTTTAAATATTATAAAATTAGTAATATCATTTCTAGAGATTAAAGAAGGGATAGCCACTGACATTGGTTAAGAATAATACCCAATAGCCGGGCACTGGTGGCTCATGTCTATAATCCTAGCTGTTCAGGAGGTTAAGATCTGAGGATAGTGGTTTGAAGACAGCTCAGGCAGGAAAGTCTGTGAGATTCTTTTTTTTTTTTTTGCTTTTTTTTTTGTAGGGGGGGTCCAGTCGTAGAGGCTGAACTCTGGGCCTGGGCGCTGTCCTTCAGCTCTTCAGCTCAAGGCTAGCGCTCTACCCCTTGAGCCACAGCGCCACTTCCGGCTTTTTTCTTTTTGCTTATGTGGTGCTGAGAAATCGAACCCAGGGCAAGGCAAGGGCTCTACCACTGAGCCACCTTCCCAGCCCTCTGTGAGACTCTTAATTCCAATAAATTACGCTTCAAAAAAAAAGCCAGAAGTGGCAGTGTGGCTAAAGTGATAGAGCTCTAGTCTTGAGAAAAGGAAGCTCAGGACAGGGCTAGGTCCTGAGCTCAAGCCCTAGGATTGGCACACACAAAACAACAACAACAATAACAATAATCATCATCATCATCATCATCATTCTCATCAGTGGTTGAATTTATGTTACCATACATTTTGCTCAAGTTCTCAGTACTTACAGAAACCAGTAGAAAGAATAATTTTAAAACTACATCCACTTGTAAATTTTAAACTGTCTCTCTTTACCTTAATAGAGGCTATCCCTCGGAAAGCTATCTGATCTTTGTCAAAATTTTCTTTTTAAGATAATGCTTTCTAGTAGATTAAAATAAATCTAATATTGAATTATCATTTTTTTTCTTTTGTGTCAGTCCTGGGGCTTGAACTCTGGGCCTGGGCTCTGTCCCTGAGCTTCTTTTTGAGTCACAGCACCACTTCTGTCTTTTTCTGAGTAGTTTATAGGAGATAAGATTCTCACAGACTTTCCTGCCTGCCCTGGCCTCTAACTGTGTAACTAGGATTACAGTCGTGAGCCACCAGCACCTGGCTCTGAATTACCACTTTTAATGATCTATAGTCCAAGTTGTCTTTTTGTTGATATAGTAAATGTTAAAATTTAATCACTGTGGGCTTAATAATACAGAGCTTTAAAGTACTTAAGAACTGTCTCAAGTCAATGAACTTTGTTTCCTTTAGAACACATCAAAGCAATGAACTATTTTTTTTTATCAGTAAGAATTAAAACCTTAATACCACAGAGTACTAAAAAATATAATAAATTCATTATGGCAGGCATATTGGCACTGAACTGTGTTTTTCAATATTTATATCGCACCTCAAACTTGTTTTGATTTTTTAAATTTCATAATTAGTACTCAATTCAGTTCCTTCTAGAAATAGTCACTGCCACTGCTGATCACACAGCACACTGATTTTAATGAGAAACATGGGATGTAAAGGAAGAAGCAAATAAGACCAGAAAGGTAGAAGCTAATTGAAACACATCTTTTCATAGGATGAGAGCACTATACATAAATCCTGTCCTGCTTCACGATATGCCAGAATAAACATATTTCCCTGATTCAACCATTAGAGTATTATACACCACCAAAGGTACCTGATAAAGGTACCTGAGCTTTCTGTCTCTGCATTGGTCATGCTGCAAATAACTTTAAGTACCTGAAAAGTAAATTAAAGCTCCAATATAGCTACCTAACCATCATCTTAGCACATCCTGAAAAGAAGGGACTTGGACATTCTGAAATTTTTAAGGGAAGACTACAAAACCAGAAGATAGTTTGGAGCCATGACTTTCAGCCTCTAGAATAATCGATCAGCATGCTAATCTGCTCTGAAGTTACAAGGGGGCTTTATTGAGAGGATGGTTGATTCAAACCTTGATTATTATTCGCGGGTGGTTGGTTGGTCTCCTGTTTGGTTGGCTGTTTACTTAGTCTATCTGTGTCTCTGTCTCTCCTCGACTACAAGGAAGACCAATTCTAATTTTCTATTTTACTATTGTTTTTACTATAAACTGTCTTCCTGGAGACTGGAACCAATCTAAAATATGGTTCTCAAATTTGACCATATGGAAAGAATCACCTGGAAAGCTTTACAATCCCAAAGTCCCTGCTACACTTTAAAACAATTAAACACGAATCTGTGGGTTGGGACACAAGCAACCATATGTTCTCAAGCTCTTCAGATGAATCCATTGTCTATCCGGTGTGGAGATGCACTGGTTCTATAAATTATGCCTGAGGCGCAGATGATTTTAACTGGAGATGAAGATTTCCACAAAGAGGCATTTCCCCTACCTCTTGCTTCCTAAGTTACACGCTTTAGTACATAAACATTCTTCTGTACAATTATAGCTTGAGAGGAGTTATTTCTAAAATACTACTTGGAAAGACATCTATCTTATTACTGGGGTGAAATATCCCTATTTCACATGATATTACTATCATTAGACCCTGTTGGAGAAATGACCAGCCAAGGTATAAATTCTAACGTGGAGACTCACTAAAATTACTTGGACTGTTTTGGAGATAGCCAGTAGTCTAATACTGTGAAAGATACAAAAAAGTGAATCATTTCTTCCTGGTTCTTAGCCTTTTCCTCTTCAGCCTCTACTTCAAGTTTTTGTTTAATATGACTAGTTTTATTTGATTTTGGTTGTTTTGTTTTTAATAGTCAAACCAACACAGACACCAGATTTAACATTCACTGATGCATTCAAATGTGAAGTTTACATACAGCAGTCCAATAGAATTGAGATAATTTATGAGCACACAAATAAAGGTTTGTTTTCCTTCACTGTTAAAGAATAAACTTAAGTCTGTAATAAGGATTTGAAATAGTATCATACTAGGGAAAACTATTTTATTAGCAAACATCACTACTCCTACTTACCAAACTCTTTCTTACCTAATACATATTTTATTCCAACTGAAGATGTCTGGCTTATAAAAGTACTTACCAGTATCATTAAAAGTATTTTTTTTTTTGCTGGCAAAATGTCGATCTCATACTAGATATGATGGGCATGTAAGTTCTTTAAAGCTTTAGGTGATAGAAATGCTTAGCCTAGATTGAAATCTATTACTCTAAGCAAAAGATAGAAATTACGGTTTAAGAAAAATGTCCTCAAAACACAAGAGTAAATACATAATTTTTCAATGGCTTGCATAGGTACACATTGGCAGCTACATACAGCTGAAAGAATGAGGAATGCGAGGGCATGGGTATTGTACCTCGGAACTGCCTGATTGTCAAATATTTCCACCTCAGTTCTGCATCTTGTCATTTGTTTTTGACCAAGACTCACCCAGATGTTTCCATCTTGATGGTAAGGCTTCCAGTTCCTCCCCGTGTCACTGTAGAGCACTCGGTACTGGGTCACCCAGTCGGAGCTGCTGTATCTTCCTTGGGTTGCTATGGCACTGAGCTGCTTCCGATGGCCAAAGTCAACCTGAAGCCATTGATAATGGTCACTGTCTGATGGGGACCACCCCCCAGCACCTGCAGTGGGCAGAAGAAAGAGAAGAACATGAATAGTTCAAGCTGGACATGTACACTTGAAAACAAATTCTTCTACCTACCTTAATTGGCCTTGTCAGTGCTGTATTTTTCCTGATGTATTATGAAGTGTCCTTTATAGGCGCCATTGGGACTTCAACTAATATTCTTCCAGCTGGGTAACATTGATTCTTTAACCTCTTTATGGTGTAATTATGTGCTCATTTTCTCCTGAGCAAATGTCTTCATAATTCCTCAATTAGATCTTATTAGCACATGTCAAAGTCTAATTGGCTGAGGGTTGATCAATTTACCATGAACTCTTCAGCTAAAATCACTAGGAAAAATATGTAACTCATTCCTTTCCTCACATAAGGTTGGATTTTGTAGCAACTTACAAATGAATTTAAAAAAAACAATTATATACAACTCTCAAATATACTTTGCTTTAGAAGTTCAGAGTCTAAAGATTATTAGCACTGTACTTCTTAAAATAAAGGCTAATCTTACATTAAAGTCCTGAACTCAGAAATACCTAAGAATTCAGGCAGTATTTATTAACTAAGAGAAATAGATCCAGTGTCTCTTGATAACCATGATTCTAAGAAAATAATCTGCGTTACTACAATTAAATATCTCTTGGTGAAGTATGATCAATTAATGATCATAAATGATCATGATCAATGATAAGAATGAAAACCATGTCCCAGAGAAATGATACTAACAGAACAAAAACACTCAATTTCTAGTTACATTTAACTCTGGTTACAGATAAATGAGAAAATGTGGCATGATTACCACTGGGAGAAAGGATCTATTTGAAGGTCAGTTTAGTGACTAATGGAAAGAAATGATTGAAAAATATTCAACAAAGCTTCAACGCAAAATGTGACAAAATACATGTGCCACTTTTTAAAAAGAGAACTCAAAAGCTGGGAACTAGTCTAGTCTATGAAGATGATCATAATAACATCATTCTGTAGGCCATTACAGCTACATCATTCATTTAGCAGGTCTATATGGTTCATTATTTTTCTTTTAGTCATGAGAAAATAGATTTCTGAACAAATACAAAACTGTAAAAATCTATAAAATTGATGAGTGGATCACAGGCAAACCTCCATCCAAATGAATAAATGAGGTAAGACCTGTTAGCTTCTTGGCTTTCAGCAGGATTCACATTCTAGTTCATGGCCCAGAGAACATCAGGGTCACTGAGGTGTGCAGATTCGAATTTACAGCTACCAAGAAAGCTAGAAAGTGTAGGACAGAGACCCAGTAAAGGAGGAGCTGGGAACAAAATGCTCGGAAACTCTCACGGGGACCTCCAAAATCAACATAGTCCACATACCGGATCACTGATATGCTGCAATTGGCAGACCAAGATGCCACAAGATTAGGGGGGAAATGAACAAAAACTGGACATTGAACAAGGCTGGGTGAATTCCATTTCCCTCTAAGTGAGTATGAATGGCCTCACTGAACCATCCAATCATTCAGTAGACATCCCAGCAAAGTCATGCATGTAAACAAAAGGAAAAACATGATTCTACCAATAGGGTTTTTTTTTTCTATATAACTGAACAAAATTTGGTGAAAAAGGTCACTCTGACCTACAAATTTGATTGTTGCTCAAACAGAATCCAACACTCCATGAATCAAGGCCATGAAAGTTGAACCACTAAGCATGTGTCCATAATGTTCAGTATAACATTAAAAGAAAAACAAATCATTAGATCATGGAAAAAGCAGGATCGCATGACTGGATAACAACAACAATTAATCTAAAAAATGGATCCACAAAATAACAAGATTGATGGAATTAGCAGCTCAAGATCCTAAAACAGTGATTATAAATTAATTCTATGACTAACAAACTCATGCATATTTTCTTTTAAATAAGTGCAATACCTTAATAGAGCAAAGAAAATAATACAGAGTAAAAAGGACATTTTAGACCTTAAAAGGATACCTGTCTTAAAAAACTACCAAATGGGCATTATAGCAGATTATCAACCTTGCTTTGAAGTTGAGTTTGAAGCTGACTGGTCATGTGACCATGTTTCTGGTGCTAAAGGTCTGGATCTTCTATAAGTAGGGATTTTGCCCTCTTATAGTATCTAATATTACCTATAGTCTTGTATCATCCACTGCCTGTTTTCTAGATTCAGTTGGTTAAAATTGCATAGGAGTCTCAGATCAGCTTCAAGGATAACCATATATTCCATTCTCAGGAGATGATGGATGTATTTTCTTCTTTGTTAGACATATAGTTTCCAAAAGAAATGTAGGTATATTTGCATCTAAAAGTTCTATCTATATCTATATATCTATGTATATCCAAAGCTATAGAATAATTTTTTTTGAAGCCAAGAAGCAATTAGTACTATAAGGGGAAGGGTGGAATTATGTCCAAATTATTGGAAACTTTCTAATATTTTTCTTTATTGGCTTGCTAATGAATACTCTAAAGTAATATTTTTCTCTTGCTGTCCATTTTTGATGACTTTTTAGAAAGCAAGAATTAAAACATACAGCCTCTTCGTCTCACTTATCTCATAGCTTTTAAAACAATGAAATTTATTGCCAACTTTAAAGGGAGCCAACTCTAAAAGCAGGGAAATATAAGTGAAACTTTACTTTTTCCCAGATACTATGTGTAGAGAATTGTGATGCACTTGAGTAGAGAGGGCAAATGCCAGCCTTGCACAGAGAGCATTGTGGATTGATCAGTGGAACCTTTCCTCTTTCTCTTTGATCTATCAAGCACTTAATTTGGAGATGTTGATTAGTTTGTTCATTTGGCTTGTGAAATTCCTAACCTCTGCCAATCTAAAATTAAAAATAATACAGCTTCTAACAGAAACAGCTCTGGGAAATGGCATCTGAGAAGATACAGGGTTCCCAATGCATATTCAATACATAGTGGTGAGTAGGCATGGAAGAGGAAATAGGACACGTAGAGATGTTGACATTGAATAGTCACAGTCTCAGGTTTTCAAGGAAGCATAAGGCACATATACTGGGGCATGAACTCAGGGACCTGCATAAGATGTTGTTTTTTCTCTAGAGACAATAGATCCAAAATTAAACTAGTAAATACTAGTAAATAACTAGTGCTTTAGTGCAGTGCCTCAAAAGATATGTTCTCATTACAGAACTCTTTCTCTAATAAACAATAGGAATGCTGTTCTCTTACTCTATTTCTCTAGTTTATCCCTTTTCCTCCCTCTCTTGCCCATAATACTTTGTGTGTCTGTGGGGGTGGATGGGAGGGTGTGTGTATGTGTGTGTGTGTGTGTGTTTCTTTGTTTTGTAAAGATGCATGGAGTTTGTACTCTATTTTATCAGAGTTATTTGAGTGATTATTTAAAAGAAAGAACTTGGAAAATTTGTGAAATGCAAACATGTATACTTTGAGCTCATATGACAGTTCCTTTTGCTTGGCTGTTTGTGACTCAGTGTCACGGAGAGAAGAGAGGACAGAGTAGGGGGAATAGGAGAGGGTGGGATTCCCCTCCTCCAGGGATAAATGGCTACTGAATAACTCAGCACTCAAGGTGGCCTGTGTGACACCATCACAGACGCCCTAAGATTCGAGAATAGAATAAGACAGCAAAATGAGAAAGAAAATCAATTAAGAATAGAACTTCCTTTAATAATGGAGAGAGAAGTATGTATCAGATGAAAAGAATAAATTGAAAAGAAGACTCCAGGCAAGATTGTATTATGAGTTCAGGCTCTGAGGTCTCCTTCTGCTTCAAATACACCATATTTTTAGATAAGATAGATAAAAAGAAAATTGAAAAGACATAGCCAGGATCAAATATAGGATAAGCATCTCCATACACAAGAAATATAACCAAAATGCAAACCAGTGAGGAGGGATACAGCTGAGGCTAGCTGGTGTGGGGTTGGGGTCACGCCGAGGTGGCTCGGGTGTTTGGCTCTCTAGGAATAGTGAAGAATTGAAGTTTCCTGGGACTAAGGCTGGCTCAGGCCTCATCTGAAAATACCGTTTCTTGGAGACTGCAGGTTAAAGCCACAGAGATAGGTGTATTAGTGCCTAGGTAAGGCATTGGCTTGTTGATTTTACCTGTATTTCCCTAATAACACTGATAGGACAAGGCCCAGGATCAACAATGCAAGGATGGTTTCACCCTAAGGACCCCAGAACCCTAGATAGACAGGAATAGGACAGAAAGGAAATGGAGAAGAGGAGAGAGAAAGTGGACACATCCTTTAGTGGAAAGAGACAGAGACGAAAAACATGTGCAAACCAAAATGTTCCAAATCATAAGAAAGAAAACAAATGCTACAAAATAAAGTAAGTTCAGATGTTATAATAATTTATGATGGTGGAAAACAAATATATTTTTGTTTCCAAACAATGAAAAAGTCATACTTTCCATTAAATAACAGTAATTATCAGGAACAAAAGGGAAAAAGAAAAGCATTAACAGAAGATACTTTAGAAATAAGAAATAAAAGCCATCAATAAGGGAAAAAAAACTCTTATCAGAGAAAAAATCCACCTATTATATCTATGTGCATAGAACATAAACATTTAAAAACAGGGGAATTTTGTCTTCCAAATTGAAAAATATGAAAGGGTCCCCAACTCCTTAGATTATTGCAAGGTGAGCACATTAGAAGTAGTGCATCGTGTAACGTAAATGAAAGTTGATCTGAACACAATACAACTGATGCACTGTGACATGTACAAAACATGAAGTCTAAGCATACAACTGAGAATTATCCCACTGATCATGCACCTTAGGAAATGCTAAAGGAGGGCACTAATGAGCTCAGATCTTATTTACAGCAGGAGAGAAGATCAGCAAGGATGGTGGATACTTTGGAGAAACAGACTTCAGCCAAGTGTCAATAATCTTTTGAGCAGAATAGTTAGAGAAAGGAGCTGTACCTACTAATTAACAACTGTCACAAACCAGAGAAAGTGACATTCGATTGGGCTGCATGGATAAATTAATGCTTGTGTA